TGCGCGTTCGAATAAACCATAAATTCGCGATATCCACAGTCTAATTATGACACACGCGCGCGTTCGTACATATACACCGGCGTACAGTAACTGGAAAACATGTTTCGCGTTCCACTGTCTCTTCTTTTCAAATAAAATATTTCATACAACTGAACGTCCCTAAAGTATCTCAATTTTTTACAATTCGATCATACTTCTGATACATTTTTAAAATCAAACATTTTCCAAAATGGACTGATACACAAAAGCTCAATTTCGCTTCGCAATGTGCCTGTACCAACAAATTTTCTCATTTCTTCTAATACAGCTCACGAATCAATTTACAAATACATATTATTATTAAAATACATACCATTGAATGAAATATAATTTAATGAAACCTCATTCAATTAAGTTTTTGAAACAACAGAAATGAAACAACGAATACTCACTGACAAATCCAAAATACCTATTCAACTCACTAAACATCAGTCATCAACCCACAAAGTCTATAGTATTAATCCTCATAAAATTATTATATTAACATTAACCAAATACATAATAATTGAGAATACTAATTTAGTAGGAAATTATATATCCTGTCAACACTTCGTTACGAATTTGACGATGATACTATCATTAGCAACGTTCATCAGGATTATCGCTCCGGTGATAGCTTCCAATAAATAATAAACAAAGAAACCGCTACGCTCTGGTTTGTATCACTCGATCTCCGTGTACAACCGCGTTTGCGGAGAAAGGGTAAACGATGAAAACTCACGGTATCCCTAACGAACTTGCAGGTGTCGGTGCAACTACCCCTGAAACTATTCCGATACACTGACCAGCAACGTCACGGGGAAAACCGATTCAACCCGGCTTGAATTCACCGTGCACCGACCTCGAAACCCATCGTTGCGATCTCATCCTCCCACTTACCGACACCGAAACCGAATTCCTCCGCGGACAACTGAATCGTTGACCAGAACTCGATCATATTTCAGCTTGAAACTGCCTCTAAAACTCGTCGTTACTGCTTTAACCCCTTCTACTATAATACCGAGTCAGACTCGCGATGAAAATTTTCAACCGATTTCGACAAACCTAAATGTTATTCACTTGTATTTAATATCAATGAAATATTATACGTTTATTATGAATATTTAACCTTTATAGTAAGCGTGAGCGGAGTATACGCATCTAATTCTTTTCTGTTTCTTCTAAATTGTTCATTATTATGTAATTTTATTCGGCACAGTTGCGAAAGAAATTCCTTTCTCAATAATCGATACAAGTACTTCGTTCTTAAGAATTTATTCAGCAAACGTAACAAATTCTAAATATATTTTATGTCAATGTTTGCTCTCAAGTATAATAATTGATATTTTCATTGATAGTTGAATTTGAATTCAAAGGAATTCAGTAATATTTATTTCATCCTTGAAAACTTGATTAACCTAGATTATTTCCAGTTTCTTCAGACGTTCATTGTAATATTCAAGTGAAACTATTTATTTTCAATACCATTTTGAATATTCAATGCTTTTAACACTAGAACTACTGAGCATTTAAACTGATTTTCGAAAATTTGTTTATACAAAGTATCAAAGTGGATTTATTAAGATTTGAATTGGTTGAAATTTCAGCTTAGGTATTATTTAACCAGTTAACTGTGGAATTTAGTTGGAAATACCTCTCGTTTTGCGCGCAATAAAATCGAAAAATGGAGCGTGTATTCGTCGAACGCAGGACGAATGCACGTAGAGTATATTTTAATGAAAGATCAAAGCGAAACAAAGAAGAATTACATGGTTTATGTGAAAAAATAAAGAATTCATCGCCGAAAGAATTAGTATCATGTCAAGCTTTACGATGAAGTGTATATTCGTCAAACACAGTTAACTGGTTAATCAGCTTCTGTAGTAATTTCTCAAAGAGACATTCGCACTTTTTCAGTAACCGAGAAAATAAAAATCAGGGAATGGGTCATTTTGAACAGATGTCCTGCTTACGATACTTAGTTTTGTTGCAATTTTATAGATACAGTTATTGTAAAGGAAATTGTAGTATTACAAGTTGAATTAAATTTACTTATGAAAATAAGAAAATTATTTTAGTTACGTCATGACAGATTTGTAAAATAATGTACAAAATCAATTTTCACGCGGAGAGCACGTGCAGGCTAGATTCGTCATTTCCTCTCAAGGGAAAGCCTTTATCGTGCAAAGGAAAGGTCCAAAAACGATCTGGTCGGGAACTTTTGAACGCCACTGTGTATATACCATTCGGGACGAAAGGATTCAAGGAAAAAGTAAATTTATTCGCATCTGAGGAAATCACGCACACGTGACAGCGGCCATCAAAATGTTAATCGAGGGCTCGATCGACCCCAAACGCGCGGGAGTCAAGAGATTCAACGGCCCCACCCCCTCGTCGGCGGAACAATTGATTGCTGAAAGTAGTTCCAGAAGTGCCTCTCGCAAACGAAAATTGTCCTAGTTAAAGAACTTTAATGATCGATTAATTCCAGCGATTAAACGAACCATTTTAATCTGGAAATCACAGGAACCAGAAAAGGAAAGAATAAAGACATTTTGAACAGCGAAGAGTTTATAAGACCTGAAACGCCACAAAGGTTGAGTGAATAATGCACGCGGAATTATTAATTAGCCGTAAGAAGATTATAGTATTAATTAAAACATTAATTATCAGCACAAAGCCACGGAAAATCAATACGATACTCTATTGTGGTTGGAAAAAGTAGACTGGAAATTGTGAATGAAATTATTTTGCATGTATCGGATAAACAACAAGTTTGCAGGATGATGCTAATAATATTTTTTACGTTACTCGTACAATTTCTTGTTTCGTGAAATGTGTGTCGCTTGTCAAACAAATAGAGGTAGAAGGTGACAAAGGGAAATCACGTAACTAAGAATAAATAGTAACAATGTGTAGCATGCGGGTTGAGATTCGAAATATCCTTGTTGCAATTTTAGAACCAGCGATGCCAAGTACTGCTAACTCAAGTGTCAATTGCGAGTCAAAGGAGCTAACAATATTCCAACGGTGGGCTTTAAATATGTTTTTATTGCGTTCGTCATCGATTAACCGGGCAATTAGAACTGCATTAAGATTTCAAATGCATTCGTTGACTATTTGCAATTTGCTGCCATTAATAATGCATAGATGACTAATGTTCTTTGGATAATTACTTTCTCGCAAGGGAGATCAATAGAGTTCTTTATTGTTTCATGAAACACGATCGTATTATTCATAGCACCCCTTTATAATGGTAATTACGAGATATCAAGTAGACGTTTAAAATGCAAATATTAGAATCATACTGTGTTTTCTGTTATATATTTTGGAAGCATTGTTATTATAAAGCGTTCAAATACACATCATTTGAATCATTCACGCAACAACTTGACTCGAGTATCCAAGCTCGTTCGAATCACGATTCGCGTTACGACGCCCATAAACATAAACAGGCCACTAAATACACGAAAACCAGCATAAATATAATTTGAATCCTTCGCGCAACAACTGGATTCGAGGAGCGAAGCTTGTCCTCATCATGATTCACGTTACGACGTCTACAAACATAAACACGCCACTAAATAAACGAAAACCAGCAGAAATGTAGAACAGTCTGTACATATTTGCTAATGCAAAGTGTAAGGCTCAGGGGTCGACGACATTTGCAAATGAATAAAAAATTTCATGAAAATTGAGCTGATCAAAATTCTGTCGATCAGTTGTGAATTCAATTTTTCAATGTTATTGCAGAATTTTATATTTAAGAAATAACTAACGCTAGACCGGAAAGTAAACGACACAATTACTGACATTGGAAGATGTAATAATTTTTAATTGATAGTCAGTAACTTGTAAACAGATTAGTAAACAATCAATAATAGACCGAGTATTAATTGTATAGACTAGGTCAATTTGGCAACTAATCATGCTGACAATGTATAATACATCAATTAGATCAATGAAATCTGAAAATCGTCTCTAAAAGGACAAAATTGAATTCAATTATACTAGAATGAACCTATTTAACCGCACCTGCTCACAATAGAAATGCGATCTGCACGCGTCTGAATAAAATACTATCATTCCTCAATCGGAGCAGTTAAATCCGCAGATTATCCTCTATGAAATAAAATCGTACACAATTATACCAGAATAAACCTACGCATTTTGACTTATTCACAATACAAAAGCACAACCTACAAATGTCTGAGTATAACACGATTATCCCTCAATCAAATGAACAAAACGTGAAAACCATCTCGCATTGAACAAAATGAAAATACTAAATTAATCCTTAAAATTCACTTAAAATATGCAGACAATGAGAAATACGATTTGCGCGCCTTGATGAAACACGATCATCCCTCAATTGCAACAATTAAATCCAAAAACCGTCTCATATCAAATAAGATCAAAATATTTATACCAAACTAAATTTATTTACCCACGACACTCAATAGAAAAACTAGATAAATCAGTTTAATTTTACCCAGTTTTTACCATCTATTTAATATAATTTCACATAAACATTTCAAACTACAAGTTTTGGTCTCAGTGAGGTTAGGTCATTTGACCAATGAAGTATATCTCCAAACAAGTAAATAGTATCAAAATAATCTATACCCAAGGAAATCCTCTAAAACTTTACCTAAAAACTACAAAGCACGTTTTCATTAACCCCTTGCCGTATTATTTACTTCTGCCTCTAAGTTCCTACATCGCCTTACTATCAACAATTTGAAAGAAGTCTAACAAAAAATTTTCTATTCCACTGTAGCAAATTGTTAATACCAAAACAATTTTTTTACTTTGATCCATGCGCAATGAACAACATTGGCTTTCATTAAATTAATCTAGACACCTTCATCACGAGTGTCACTCGTAATTACATGGCAAGGGGTTAAATCACTGTCAACCCCCAGCCGAAATGATGAACCCCAAAAGATTCTGTCTCAAGAGAATCGGACAGAACCACTTACCCGAGGGTCTCCGCGTGAAATCCCAGGGCGCGAGCGTACTTTTCACACACTTTTCACGAGCACTGTCCCCCACAGGCACTGGTTCCCAGCCGGGTAGCACAATCACTGACCACCGAGGACACTGGACGCCGTCTCATTTCACCGCACTCGCCGCGCCGGACACTCGACCGACCGTATCATCATCATCCCCTAAGTGACACCCTTCAGCTCAGCCTACCTGCCGCCCGCCCACTCAGCCCCGAGACTCTCGGATCACTTGTGCAGGAAACACCTGTTCGATGAACCACGGGATGCCACGCGTTAGCAGCCGACGGGGGGTTGAATCTCGAAGGGGTTGAAGCGAGATTCGCGAGGCCCTATATTCGAACGGAAGAAGACGAGGACACTTTTGTTTCCTCGATGCGCGTTGGTGTGCGTTCGCAGGTGAACAACGAGGGCTAGCTAGTTAGCTCGGTCCTCCCACGGGGTGAAACGTTCACAATGACAGACGAGAAAGTGACGGAACGGGATACTAACGGACGCTCGACGAGGTACTAATCGACAGAACTCGCTCGCACCGTGGCGGGTCGACCGCGACTGAATCGAGCTAAGTCGGCTCGGAACGCGTCGGGTTTGAATGAGACTGGCCGCGCGCGGGAGCGAGAGAGAGAGATGGAGAGGGTGGCACAGAGTGGGAGAGCGAGACCGAGGGAGAGGTTGGGTAGACACTCGCGGCCGGAATTGGAGGGGTGCAGGGTGGCAAAGGTGGGGAGACAACGCGAGATACGAGAACGAGTGATAGCG